GCCGCGTTAGCGGCGCCCTAGAGTCGGGGGACAGCCGGGCTGGCGATGAGGAGGAGGCTGAGCCCGGGCTGTGCCGCAACGGGTGGGCGCCGGAGCCCGCGCCCGTGGGCCGGCGCCGCGGGCGCTTCGTCAAGAAGGATGGGCACTGCAACGTGCGCTTCGTGAACCTGGGTGGCCAGGGCGCGCGCTACCTCAGCGACCTGTTCACCACGTGCGTGGACGTGCGCTGGCGCTGGATGTGCCTGCTCTTCTCCTGCTCCTTCCTCGCCTCCTGGCTGCTCTTCGGCCTGGCCTTCTGGCTCATCGCCTCGCTGCACGGCGACCTGGCCGCCCCGCCGCCGCCCGCGCCCTGCTTCTCGCAGGTGGCCAGCTTCCTGGCCGCCTTCCTTTTCGCGCTGGAGACGCAGACGTCCATCGGCTACGGCGTGCGCAGCGTCACCGAGGAGTGCCCGGCCGCCGTGGCCGCCGTGGTGCTGCAGTGCATCGCCGGCTGCGTGCTCGATGCCTTCGTTGTGGGCGCCGTCATGGCCAAAATGGCCAAGCCCAAGAAGCGCAACGAAACCCTCGTCTTCAGCGAGAACGCCGTCGTGGCGCTGCGTGACCGCCGCCTCTGCCTCATGTGGCGCGTCGGCAACCTGCGCCGTAGCCACCTGGTCGAGGCCCACGTGCGCGCGCAGCTGCTGCAGGTGCGTGGTCTGGGAACGAGGGCGGTTGGGAGGCGCCCCGGGCAGGGGTGGGGCAAGAGCCCAGAGGAGAGATGTAGGCCCGAGAGCGAGGGGTGCGCAGGCTGCAGGGTGTGCCGAGTCCCAGCAGAAACCCTTTGCCGACTAGGGCTCCCTGAGCAGTCGGGGGAGCCATAGATCCCAGACTGAGACAAACAGACAGACGGAGACAGAGCCAGTTCTTCCTGGAGGCCTGGACTTCTGGGGCATGAGGATGGTTCACTATGGGATCGTGAGAAATCTGGACCCGAGCCCGTCTGCGCCTGGCATGGAAGGGCTCCGAACTACAATTCCCAGAAACCTCTGGGCTAAGGGAAGTGCCCAGGTGGGTAGAATGAGGTGATATCCTTTTGTGGGTGGTGGGGTCTGTGTGGCCCTTCCACGGCACACACAGTGGCCTGTGACTTGAGGCCCTTGTGAGTTGGTGGGAGAGGTTGGAGGAGAATGGGGTGTAGCTGACGCCTGCACGGCTGTGGAAGTTTCCAGGCCTCTGGCCATGGGGTCCTGCCGCCTTCTGGGAGACTTTGTGCAAGACCCCAGGGCTGGGGCCCAGCAGCCTCGCGCCAGATTTGCAGAGAGAGCAGGCTGGGAAACACTGTTGTAGCATTTTAGTGTCGCAGCAACAACAGTGCATGTTCCCCCGGCCCCAGAGGTCACAGCGGGCTGGGGAGAGGGCCTTTGTGTTCCTGAACTCTGGTCAGACCACTCAGACATCCCTGGGGCCGAAGGGACCCTTGCCCAAGTAGACACTTCACACTGGGTGGCAGAGGGAACTACAACTCCCAGCAGCCTCTGGGATACAGCACCCAGATGCAGTAGTGAGCGAATAGGTGGCCGCCCCCACCTGTGTCTCCTGCCTGGATGTTTGGGACACAAGCATTCCTGAACACAGGGGACATCGTCTCTTCCAGAAGTCTGTAAGGACAGTGACACGGCCTGGGAGGTGGTGGTGGTAGCGAGAGGTAAAACTGCCAGTATACCCCCCCTACACACCCAGTGGGAAGGAAGGGCTTGAACGTGGGTTGTCGTGGGAGTGGCCTGGGCACAGGTGGCCCAGCGGCTAGTCCGAGGCAGTGGAGCAGTGCAGGGTATTAGACCTAGACCGTCCTGATGCCCTCCTGGCGTCCTGGGCTATCTTTCTCTGGCCACCTATTGAAAGCCATTTTTCTGTGCCCTTTCTCCTGCAATTCTCGGGTGGGCATCGTCTCTGCCTTCCATTCTCTCTGTTTTGTCTCTTGCTGGCTTCCGTGGCTGTGCGCCAGTACCGCTCCTCCCCATCCCTTTCTTTTCTACCCACCCTCCTCCCTGGGTTTCTATCCCCAAACTCTCTGGGTCTTTGTCCTTCTCTCTATCTTTGGGCCTCTGTCCCTCTCTTTGCATCCCCATCCCCCTTCTTCTCTCTCTGAGCCTCTGCCCCCACCTCGGGTCTCTGACCCCTCTCTCTGAGTTTCTGTCCCCCCTTCTCTGGATTGCTATTCCCCTCTCTGGTTTTCACCGATCCCTCACCCTTGTGGGTTTTCACTCTCTTCTTTCTCTGCATATCTATCTCTTCCTCTTGCTGTCTCTGGCTCTGTTCATCTGTCTTCCCTGCTCTGTCTTTGGCTCCTGGCCTTTTGCTGCAGCCCCGCGTGACTCCTGAGGGCGAGTACATCCCGCTGGACCACCAGGATGTGGACGTGGGCTTCGACGGCGGCACCGACCGCATCTTCCTCGTGTCTCCCATCACCATCGTGCATGAGATCGACTCTGCCAGTCCTCTGTATGAGCTGGGACGTGCCGAGCTCGCCCAGGCCGACTTCGAGCTGGTGGTCATTCTTGAGGGCATGGTTGAGGCCACAGCCATGACCACACAGTGTCGCTCATCCTACCTCCCTGGCGAGCTACTCTGGGGCCATCGTTTTGAGCCAGTCCTCTTCCAGCGGGGCTCTCAGTACGAGGTCGACTATCGCCACTTCCACCGTACCTACGAGGTCCCAGGAACACCTGTCTGCAGTGCCAAGGAGCTGGACGCTCGGGCAGAGCAGGCTTCCCACAGTCCCAAGCTGAGCTTCCCCGGCTCTCTAGCTGCATTTTGTTATGAGAATGAACTTGCTCTGAGTTGCTGCCAGGAAGAAGAGGAGGAAGAGGAGGCCAATGAGGAGAATGGGGTGGAGACAGAAGAAGGGGCTGCTAGCCCCCGAGCTCTCACACCAACCTTGGCGCTCACCCTGCCCCCGTGATGCAAGCCGACACGCCATTCCCCTGTGTGCCCCTTTCCTCGTGGTAGCAAGATGGAGAGATCAGGCCTTTCCTCGTGGTGAATGGGGGCAGATGTTTCCCAAGACCAACAGGGGTAAATGCTTAGCTGGAGAGGGTCTGCCATGCCTGCTGGACCCACCATGGACATCCTAGACCTTCATACCTCTTCTGTGCTCCCTCCTGAGACCCCTCTATGAGCCTGATTTCCTGAGTCTCACCAGAGACTGGAGGGATCCAGAATTCTGGGTCACCCAAGAGGCAAGAACTGGTGGTTCTAGATTCCTCTGCATGGCCATTCCAGTGTTGTTGCGTCAGCTGTCAACAGCATACAAGCCTCTGGGGGAGGAGGTGAGCAATTTTTGGAGAGCAACAGAGATCAAGAGTTTGTAGGTCTGGCTTCTCACCTCGGTCAACTGAGTAGCAAATGATTCATTTTAGACCGTGTATGGAGGGAAGGCTCTGGAATGCACCAAGTATTCAAGACCATCTTGAATGGCCAAAACACCGAGTGGTGACTGCAAGTCAAGGAAAGACCTTGTGGTTCCAGAAAGCCTGAGAGTTGAGATTCTGTGGGCTGAGGTTGACTGCAGAGGCAAGCACTGCTGATTCTAGAGTAGGTCTGACCTAGAGAGTTGAACTACTCCTGAAATTAAGAGTTATGCTTCTAGGGTACACAAGATGATGGCAAGTCTGGTGGTAGGACTGAAGCAACAAATCGGGAGATCGTGGTGGTAGATGACTCCAACCCCCTGGCTGTGGAAGTTCTGGCTTGGGGCATAAGCACCACTTCTCTCTTTTTAAAATAATTATTTTATTTAACTTTATTCACTTATTTATTTTTTAATTTGACCCAAGAGAAAGAAAGTGAGAAAGCAAGCTGTGAGGTCTGGGACTCGAACTGTAGTTGGCAGTATGGGATTCTAGCACCTTTAACCACCATGCCACCTGCCAGCACCCCTGGAT